CTCTTGCCTGCCGCCACTTCCTTTTCATTGTCTTCGTTTTATTGTTGTTGTTGCTTTTTTTCCTTCTTTCATTCGTTCTTTCTTTAATAGAAAATTATAATCACAGGTGCTTAGTAAGGTCAATAAGAGACTCTACCCCTGTTCACCACTGATAAATCTACTTAAAAAACAATAAACCACGATAACAACAACAACAACAACAACAAAACTTACTAACTTAATGAGAAATCGTATAATAATCCTTTCAAATGCGCAAATGCACTGTGAGATTCTGCGAGTGATAGAAATTTTTTGTCGCTCCCGAAGCCGCCAGTAATCCTCGAGTGAGCCATTGGCCAAATTGATTCCACGACATTTGGCTAAGCTAGAGTTTGAACACTTGTTCACAAGGGAAAGACCAGAGATAAGCCTAACCTATTATCATCTGCTTGTCTACCATCTTTATCTGGTCATTAAGAAAACTGTCATTACCTCTCTCGCTCTCGCTCTCTCTCTCTCTCTCTCACACACACACACACACACACACGCGCGCGCGCACACATACATATTATATGTGACTTAAGCGAGTATTCCCGGCTAATCAGTGATCACCAACATTTTGTCAAGTCACTCCCTTCGGGTCGACTGGTTTTAGCGAACATTCCTTTAATTCCAACCTTCAATTTCAACGAAACCGCCACCACCACCACTCGCCCTGCCAATTAATTCACACAGTGACTAACCACGTATATTACGCATAATAAATCATCTCATGCATAATAGATGCAATATTGTCTTATAAATAATACTCGAGTTCGTTTATTGCAGGCATTATAGAGTGTATGATAATTAGGGAGATGTGTGTGTGTGTGTGCGTGTGCTCGCGCGAGCGCGCGTTTAGAGGACTCTTTTATACTCAAGAGAAAGAATAATTAACGAAATATATATATATTTCAATGTATGAAATTGAAAAAGGACAACGATAATTCAAAACCAATTATTATAATTGCAAAGTGTACGTTAAGTTTTTTCTTCTTCTTTTTCTTTTCCTTTCCTTCTCTTTCCTCATGTAAATCGGACTTTTAAATACAACGGTGAGCACAAAAAGCTCGTATAACAATCGTAAGGGCGGCAATTATATAAAATTCCGGTATGCGATTTCTCCAATGTGGTGGCGCTCGGATTCTTCTCTTTCACGGAACGCATCCTTTCGAGTCCCGCATCGTCACCCCACACGCTTTAACCGCAATAATTTGTTTATGACTTTATAATCACCTTTCCATAAGCAGATGCCCTATCTAAGCAATAATATATTTAATAAAATTTAATAATCATGGTATCTGTCATTATTTATAGTCGTCGCCTTTATTACACGGACAATTTTACGAATTGTCATTTTCACAAGCGCTAATTAAACTAACTTATTGCGCAGGGGCAGTGAAAGTAAATGGGAAATTATCACATCATCTACGCTCTTAATCTCTATTATCTAATCAGAGCCAAAGTCCAAACAAATAACAAATGCCTAGCAGATATACTAAAATACTCATCCGGCATTTAAATGGCTTGATTTCCTATCACCTTAAGGTAATATTGTTTACGCCCGTCGGACGTACGGGGCCACATAATTCCGTGCCACCGCCTAATTGGCCAGAATTATCATAAAAGTGTAAAAGCGTTCCCCAATTTGGGGGGGTGGGGTGGCGGGGTGTTGTCGACGAGGGGAGGGTGAGGGGATGGGAATCGGAGGCCGGAGAGATTATAGACATTGTCGACCGATGCCCTCGGCATGTGTATCGGCGTGCCCATTACGAGTGCGCGTCATTACTGCGAAAAGCTGTGGTGCAAACTGGCGCGCTTGTTAAGAAAAATGAATCCGTCCAAAAGTAAACAAGGGTCCCGACGTAGTTTAGATATACACGCTTCGTTTAAAGGGGCGCTCGCCTACAAATAAATTGCAAAGTAATTACTGAAGAAATCGGAGGCGCGATTAAAGATTAAATTTGCCAAGCGCAGAGGTTGAATTTTAACGGCGAGCGCACCGTGGCATCGCGCGAGGCTCGCACGCGACGTTCGTCCAGCGTTAAAAGGGGACGAAAAAGTATATAAATGTCGCGTTGGGGCTGGGGTTTAGGGGGCGAGGGGGTGGGTGGGTGGGGGGGGGGATGAGCGAGGGGGACTGGAAAGAAACGGGAAAAGGCAAGAGCGAGAGGTCGTGTCGTGCGTGATATACGTGATTCGAACGGGGCTCGGTTAAGCCACTGTATTATAAGTACTCGAGGCGACATGAGAAAGGGAAGAGGAGTAATGATGAGGAAAGAAGGGCGTTGGAGGCACCTTGTTATATGCAATAGCGCCTTGTCCGTCGGTTGCGAGAGAAACGTCATTTCCACGGGAAACGACAGTCCGGCTGTATCTTGTAAACCAATGTCTGGACACGGACGCGACGAGCGGCCACTACAATAGTATCCGCAATAGTCAATCGGATTTGTCTTTCTAGCGTTTCGTTCTGTCTTCCTCTAACTTTCCTCATCCTTCTCTACATCCACATCCCCATCCCAATCCTCCTCCTCCTCCTCCTCCTCCTCCTCCTCCTCCCACCGGCCACGCGAACTCTGCCGAAAACCAGACCGCCACTGCCGTCACAGCACATCGTTTCCCCCTGTTCCTGATCACGTTACCGTCCCCGATCCCCGTCACCGATCACCGAAGAACGCTCCACGGCCGGCAATGTGTTTACGTTCACGCATTTAAAAAGCCGCAGTTGCGAGGGGGCAGTTGTTACTTAATTCAAAAAGGAGAGAAATTCCTCGGCAGTGGCTTGTGTGCAAAATGTCATGTCGCACGCGCGCGCGCGAGCGAGCCACGTAAGTAGCGAACCAAGGCTAAAAAAGCCGAAACGCTCCTTAACTGCTAAGCGCCGCAGATATAATACCAAATTGGAAAAAGCGAATGTAATGGAGCCGAGCGCGATGCTGTCTTTAAGGATAGACAGGATCGGCATCGGTGGCCGCGGCGGTGGCGGCGGTTAAAGCTCCCAAGCGCTGCGCCGACCAATAATAAACAAATGTCGGGCCGGCGCTTGGATGTTAAAGCAAAGATAAAGCAAAGAATGAAAAAAAAAATTGAAATATTGAGAGAGAGAGAGAGAGAGAGAGAGAGAGCGAGAGAGCGAGAGGGGCGGCGGCGGGCTATGAGAGGGGAGGAGAGGAGAGAAGAAAGAAACGAAGCATGAAGCTTCTTGGGTAATGTGGGGTGCCGTGCACGTGCACGCGCTCTCGCTCGCAAAAGTCAGTGGGACGAGGGAGAATAAAACGCAGAAAAAACGGCGTCGGCTCGAGGACGCAGGAAAAGGCAAAAATCATGGCAGTTAAGGGCACACGGGGTAGCCCGACTCACCTCTCTTATCCTCAGTCTGTCGCGACCGTTGCCAAATTCCCCGAGAATCTCCGTCCACGCACTCACACGCCCTTTCAGCCGATCCTCAGCCAAGTCTCGTGGGTAGTGATGTGCCTATCAGAGGCGTCGGGTCTTAAGTAAGCAAGGTTCGTCGTCCCGTGGGCCCAAATTCCTCAACTTCATCTTCCGGACGATTAGCTCGAACTGTGAATAGTCGGCGATGCCTCGTCGATGACTAAACCACCCATAGTCCACGGCACGCATCGACGCTCCTCACTACGGTACGGTCTGCCTCGGCCACCACCGTCACCCCTCCCCCGGCCCGTGACAGGCGTACTACGGCTCCACGCCGCTGCCGTCGTTGCCGCCGTCACCGCCCCTCGCTCCCACACTCTCGCTCGATCCCTCTCGCTCCCGTTCGTTCGCTCGCTCTTTCCTACCAGGGCATTACGACCACGGGGTGAAGGCGATGGCTGTGGCGAGGCCACGTAGGAGGGGGAGGGGGGAGGGGAGGGGGGTAGCGGCTGGCAGGCCTGAATTCGAATGCGAGAGAATGCCTCGAACGGTTACGAGAGGGACGGAGAGAGCGTAACCCCCCACCTGCATCGATCCACGCACAGGCCCCACCCTGGCACGTATTTATTCTTCTCTCTCTCTCTCTCTCTCTCTCTCTCTCTCTCCTTCTCTCGCTCGTTCGTGCATACGCACGCACGCACGCACACACACACAGTCAGTGGCGAATGCCGCTCCTCGTTACGAGTAGCCGCAGCTGGAATATTAGGCTGGGAATGCGCTTAGCATTATGTTGTGCTGCTTTACATGCTGTTAAAGGCAAGGGACTGCTGCTCGGCATGGAGCGGCTCTTAATCACACCAACATTTTATGGCTCTGACGGCCTT